GGGAAATGACTGCTAATGGACAGTCATTAACTGAATTATATACTTTAAATTTCTGAACTGATGATACCATTTTTAGTTTACACCAAACACTCTTCATTCATTGTTGGGGGCCTCTTACACAGATGGCTGCCAGGGTCTTAGCCTGCCTCATCTCCTGCTAGAAGCTTCTCCGGGAGCATCAGCCTGTCCCTCCTTCCTTGGTCTCTGTTGATTGATTCATTCATTCAACAGAATGTGTCTTACTACCTGGTATGTGCCAGGCCCTATGCTAGACTTGGGGATAAAAATGAACCAAACTCTGCCTTTGTAGGATTTGCCATCCAATGAAGAAGACAGACAATAAAATATCCACAAATTGTAGATAGAAGTGTTAAGTGTTACAAACTTGCATGCATCAAAGGACACTATCAAGAAAATGAAAAAAACCCCCCACAGAATGGGAGAAATATTTGCAAATTATATATCTGACAAGGCTCCAGTATCTGGATTATGTAAAGAATTCCTATAATTCAACAATAGAAAGGCAAGCAACTCAATTAAAAACAAAGGATTTGAATCGACATTTCTCCAAATGAGATATATAAATGACCAACAGACACATTAAAAGCTGCTCGACATCATTAGTCATTAGGAAATATAAGTCAAAGCCATGATGAGATACCACTTCACATCCACTAGGGCGGCTATAATAATATTAGTAGAAAAACAAGTGTTGGTGAGAGTGAAATTAGAGTCCTCAAACATCGTTGTTGGGAATGTTAAATGATGTAGTGATAGTGGAAATCAGCGTGGTGGTGCCCCAAAAGGTTAAACAGAGAGTTGTCATGTGGCTTAGTGATTCCACTTCTAGGTACCCAAGAGAACTGTGAACCTAAGTTCACACAACAACTAGTGCTAGAGTGTTCATAGCTCCCTGACTCATAATAGCCAGGGAAGTAGAAACAAGCCAGCTGTGTCCATCAGTGGAGGACTAGGGTAAAACGCGTGTGGTCTACGCACACCATGGAATATTATTCAGCCACAAAAACCCATGAAGTACTGACACACAGTACAATGTGGATGAACCTTGAAAAAGCTAAGCCAAGTGAAAGAAATAGGTGAAAAAGGTTCCCTTTACATGAATGAAACGGTCAGAATAGGGGCTGGGTAGGTCGGGGAAGGGGGAATGGTGAGTGATTGCTAATGGACAATGGAGTTTCTAAAATTATGAAAATGTTCTAGCATTATATAGTGGTGATTACTGCATAACATTGGGAATATATAAAAAAAATCACTGAGTTGCCTTGGCACCTATAGCACAGCGGCTATGGCACCAGCCACATACACCAAGGTTGGTGGGTACAAACCCAGCCTGGGCCAGCTAAACAATGACAACAACAACAGCAACAACAACAACAACAACAACAACAACAAAATAGCTGGGTGTTGTGGCTGGTGCCTGTAGTCCCAGCTACTTGGGAGCTGAGACAAGAGAATTGCTTAAGCCCAGGATTGGAGGTTGCTGTGAGCGGTGACACCACAAAACAAAACAAAACATTGAGTTACATACTTTAAAGTGATACATTTCATATTTTGTGAATTTTATCTTTAAAAATAAAAGGAATAACCCCAAAGGTATTGACATTTCTCTAGTCCTGTTTCAAAGATGCAGTAGAGAGAACCTGATTGGTCCAGCTTGGATCAGGTGTTTAAGTCAAAGCTTCGGTACAGAGTCACAGCCAGGGGGCTGCTGTGGGGTTAGGGTGGGGACACAGCATTCAAACAAGAGGGGTGTGGGCTGGGCAGTTGTCCCCAAAGATGTCTATTTTAAGAAAAAAAACCCAGCATTAAATAAAATCCTGGAAAAAAGAAAAAAAATAAATCACTCATAATCCTAGCATCTTCATCAGTACAGCTTTTTTTTTTTTTTTTTTTAGAGACAGAGCCTCAAACTGTCCCCCTGGGTAGAGTGCCGTGGTGCACAGCAACCTCCAACTCCTGGGTTCAAGCGAGTCTCCTGCCCCTTCCTCCCAAGTAGCTGGGACTATAGGTGCCTGCCACAATGCCGGGCTATTTTTTGGTTGTGGCACCATTGTTTGGTGGGTCTGGGCTGGATTCGAACCAACCAGCTCAGGTGTATGTGGCTGGTGCCTTAGCCTAACCACTTGAGCCACAAGCGCCAAGCTATCAGTACAGCTTTTATTTTTGCAAATCCTTCTGGTACTTGTCCGCAGGCCAACATATTTTTCAGAGTTGTAATCACCATGTTTGTGCTGTTTATTTTCCGTTCTTTTCACTTCCCATCATATTCCAAACATTTCCCATGTTTCTAAACCACCTTCATAATTATCCTTTTTAATGGCTGCATAACATTCAATTGAGTTGATGTACCATAATCATCTTAATCACTTTGCCATTTCTGGGTGTTTACACAATTTCCAATTATTTTTTGCTATTTTATACACACACATGTACATAATCATACTGTAGGAAACACTTTTATGCATATTGATTTTTTTCTCTACTTGATTTCAGCCCAAATTACTTAAAAAGACCTCCCAGGAAATGTCAAAGTAATTGAGCATCTTAGAAAGAAAAGAGACTCATAAACTCACTGGGGATAGTTGGGAAAACTCTACCCAGGCGACCCCTTCTCTGCCCAGGGAAGCCCCTGTCCTCCCACCCCTGGTGTGTTGATGCCTCTTGCCCCCCCAGTAGTTTACTGACATTGGCTGTGCTATGAATATGCCGCTACAGATTTCTACCTTTATTTGGACTTTATCCATGTTTGTTTGTGTTGTTGCAATGCTGCTGTGAACATCCTTAGACGCATCTCCTGGGGACACATGTGACAGGTCTCTCTAGTTTCCCAGCCTTGACCTGATGGCCATTTAGGGGTGGCTCACTCGTTGTTATGGAGACTTCCCTTTGCATTGTGGGTGTTTGTCGGCACCCCTGGCCTCCACCCAGTAGAAGCCAGGAGTTGTTTCTGGTTGCAACAAACAAACCTGTCTTCATACATTGCCAGACTCCCCCAGGGGGATGAAATGGCTCCTTCCACCGCTGAGAACTGAAGCTTTGGCCTAATAGTTCTCAAATTTTGCTGCACTTTAAAACCACCGGGGGAGTTTAAAAATTCAATGCCCAGATTTCCCTTCTGTCCAATTAGATCATAACCCCAAGGGGCACAGTGCTAGCTGCTGGTTTTCACATTGCCTGCTCACAGGAACCACCTGAGAGCTTTAAAAGATGCTGATGCCTGGGCAACACTCTCCAGAGGTTCTGATTTAATTGATCAGGTGTGAGGCCTGTGGATTTTCTTTTCAAAGCCCAGCCTTAGGTGCGTCTAATGAGCAATTAAGTTTAAAACGACAGGGGCAGATGCTGGAGTGAAATTGCTGGGTTGCAGGCCTCCACTTCACTCCCAAAGGCCAGG